GGCTGATACTTCGGCTGGTCGTAGGACTGCCGAGGCGATTCGCCTGGTCCTTGTGGATTGGGTGAATCGTGACAGAGGACGCCTCACTTTCCGGCTCACGCAGGTGCTTACTAGGCATGGTTGTTTCGGTGAGTTCCTGCACCGGATCACAGCCGAGCCGACGGCAGAGTGCCACCATTGTGGTTGCGACTTGGACATGGCAGAGCATACGCTCGTGGCCTGCCCCGCATGGGAGGGGTGGCGCCGTGTCCTTGTCGCAAAAATAGGAAACGACTTGTCGTTGCCGAGTGTTGTGGCATCGATGCTCGGCGACGAAGAGTCGTGGAAGGCGATGCGCGACTTGTGCGAGTGCACAATCTCGCAGAAGGAGGCAGCGGGGCGCGTGAAAGACGCACAATCCCGATGCCGTCGAGCGGGGGCCAGGGAGGCGGATCCCGCCCAAGTCCTGGCCCTCTAAGTGCTTCGGGTCCCCCTCACATGTCGGTCTCGAGACCGGCGAGGGGGACCTAAGAAGACGACGTGCAAGCTGCTCTGCACGCGTTTTACGCAAGAGCATCCGGGTGATGGAAGGCCGGCTATCCTCGACCCACGCTGGTTCTGGCCCAGGGTATTCCGTAGGATAGCTCAATCTAACCGGCGCCATCTAGGCGGTCTTCGGATAGCCTGCCGTCCGAGAGGGCTGGTGGTCGTGGCGCCGACGACCGCCGGTCCAGCGTCCCGAGGGGGAGAGTGATGGGAGAGATGTGCTTCACACTAAACGCTTCACTTTCCCCCCTTTGCCTTTTCATAAGTTCTATCTCATGCGAGGTTTGGACGTTGGTTGTTGAGCGACAGGAGGTTTTATTCCATCCCCAGTGGAGGGCGGAAGTCCGATGATTTCCTTCTGAACAAAAAAAAAGTGTATTCACCTGTGATCATAGATGGCTGCTCGGGTAGCCTAATTAAGTTGAAAAAACCATCAGGTGGACAAGAATCATTTGGAAACGAATTACACGCGGTGTACTAATCCGATGAAATATATATATACACGCACGCACACACATACATATATATGCACAAACATATACATATACATACACAAATATAAATACATATATAATATAACTAGCAGACCCGGCCACATGTTGCTGTGACTAAGATTTTTGTTTCTAAATAACACGCGGCCGGCTATGCTAATACCAAAAATTAACAAAGTAAGAACAATTGGAATAAACTGTTTTGCGTTTACTACGAAATAAATTTCCTCAGCAACACGTGGTGTTTATGTCATTAAATTGTAGCTTATGTGAATCGTTAGTATTTTTAACACAGCGCCATCTATGAGATATTAATGTCAGACAGTATTACAATTGAGGCCTATAAAATCAAAGGCAGCCAAACGCCATAATGTCGTGAGACGGATTAACAATGGCCCTATTTTGTTTAGTTAATTGGACACGCTTTAGTGTTTTCATGTTATAACAAATGCAGCTAAATCTCTTATAAATTCAGTTCAAAAATTTTATTTTTACTCAGTACAAGTACTAATAAACAAAGTTTTATCATTTAAAATTCAGATTAGTAGTAATATTCTCATTCTTTATAAATCTGTTTTAAAGTAAAGACTATTGTAGCTATCTGAACAAAGTTATTTCAGCGTGTTGCTAAAACTGGCCTTAGCAAGAGCAGTACTTCGATGGATCGGGAGGATCCGTAATGACGTGTTTAGGGACGATTTTTGTAGTTTACTTGAATATTTGACAGACTTGGATTTAGCAGCCTTTGATTTTATAGGCCTCAATTGTCTGTAAAAACTACTAAAAACTGATTTAACATAGGAAATAATTTTATTGTTAATTAATAAATATTGCGACCATTAATCGAAATAAAAACCATCCTATGTTGTTAACATAGTTGGATAGACGAAGTTGGAACAAAACACATATTTAAAAAAAAAGTTAAAATCGGTTCAGTAGTTTAGGTGTCCATCGCGGACAAACAACGTGACACGTAATTTATATATATATAGTAAGATCCTCCTCCTCCGTGCGTCGTATTCCTCAGTTCTGAGGGTCGTGACCTTTACGGAGCACTTTTGTTAAGACTATGTTCCTCCATTCACTCCTGTCCTCCGCACAGTGGATAGCGACTTTGATGCTGGAGTCCAAAATCGTCTTAATCTGATCGGACCAGCGCATGGGACCACGTCCCCTAGGCCTCTTTCCTTCCACTTTGCCGGTGATGAGAAGTCTTTCGAGATTGTAGCCCTTTTTCCTCGCAACGTGACCGAAAAACTCTAAGATCCTACGTAGGCAAATGGTGGAGAGTCTTAAGGAGATGCCTAGTTCTTCCAGGATTGAATCGTTTGTCCGATGCGTCGTCCAGGGAATCGGCAGTATTATATAGTAAGATAATCTATGGTAATAATGGGCTGTAGATGGCGGCGGTCCCGATAAGGGATTTATCGGAGAGTTCTTCATAGATTTACGAATGGAGTTGAGATCTTGACTCTCGCGTACCACGTTACTCCAATAGCTAGCCCAAGGAAGCGAGATTGTAATATTCAGTAGGCAGCGGCTTGGCTCGGTAGGCAGCGGCTTGGCTCTGCCCCTGGCATTGCTGAAGTCCATGGGCGACGGTAACCACTCACCATCAGGTGGGCCGTATGCCCGTCTGCCTACAAAGGCAATAAAAAAAAATAAAAAAAAAAAAAAAATTTATAAGTTAAGCAATCAACTCTAACAACGAACCTAAAACTAAAAATGTCTTCATGATAAATTGCAGATTCAAAAAATATGACATTATTAAACTATTCCGCGTGAATTCTTACATAGCGTTTAATGTTAACATCAGGGTAATGAGTTTATTTACGGTTCGACTTTGCGTATAGTCCATTTACATTCTTTTTTTTTTCATTTACGATTTTGCATTTTAGGTATTTTATTTTATAACGTAAGTCTTGTCTATAGTTTATGTTACATTGTAATTGTATTGTAAAAACACTATAGAAAATATATAAAAAATAAACTATAGAAATAATAAAATAAAAATAAAAACTATAGAATCGATCGCAGCTATTTGGCTTATAAGACCTGACATTTCTCTAGAAAATTTATAATGAAATGTGATAGTGAACATTAAAAATGCGAGACTTGCCCGATCAATGACCGCGACGTGTAGACGCTGGCCTTGTACTGGACAAGCTTTTTATGGACTACGGGCTGCAGAAGACTATAATTGCAGAGGTCTGATCAAAATTTATCTGTTTATATCAAGTATTCGCCCTGTTTTTTTTTGCAATGTCAATTTCTTCGTCGGCCATGTTACAATCTTATATTTTTTTATAGCTTTAATGGGTGGACTAGCTCACAGCCCAACTGGTTTTAAGTGGTAACCGCATCTACAACGTAAATGCCGCCACCCACCTCGAGACATGAGTTGTAAGGTCTCAGTTTTACCAGTACAACGGCTGCCCCACCTTGCAAACCAAACTGCTAGGTAGGGTACTGGTACCTTAGACCCTTGCGGACTGATAAGACGTCCTACAACCAGTAAAATAATGTTGCTAGATCAAAATTTCAGTTTTAAGTTATTCCTTTGGATTTGTATTTTTTTTTATGTGTACCATAGTAGAGCAATAATTAGGTATACGTACTTGTTGACCAGGATAGCGACATCGTTATGAACAATTGGAACTCATCCATCATTATCATGTAAAGTTTTCTATCTGCGTTCTGATTTTATGTGTGCTTGATTGGTAGCCGGTTAAAAAGACTTGATGTGTGAGGTCAATTGACCTTACTAATGTAATTACGGCTTAGCTGGACTAATGAGGTTTGAAGTATCGGGAACTAGTAACAACTGTCCTACCCTTCAAAGTAGATCGCCTGATAGCTTTAGATTGGCAGAAATAGGCATTTCACTAGGATTATACGTCTAAGTAGCTTCATAATTAAGACCTTTTATTTTGGTAAATAAGATCTGACGGATTTGACTGCTTCCATAGTGTTTTTAAAATGATGACGTCGGTGCCGCTGACTCCATTCTCTGAAACATTATTTTCATTGCCTTCCATAAAACAGTAATTAGCCGTGTGTGTCAACAAATATGAACAACCGTCTGCTTACAATAATGTTTATTTGAAATTAAAAGTTTTGTAACAATAAAATGGAATGTACATATTATTATATTATTATTATTATTATTAATACTTTATTTCAGTTTTTTTTTTAAAACCATAACATTTTGTTAGTAGTAATTACTTATATCTATGTTAGTGACTTAAAAAATCTAACACATAACTATCATTATATATATACATTTTATACCATTACATTTTTTATTTTATTTTTTCTCCTTCCAAGTGCCTATATGTAATTATTTCTAATGCTACAATTATATTAATTATACTGAAGTAAACTATGTAGTAATGTGAATAGATATCTAAGTTGTGTATGTGTAAGTACATAATTACACTATTCTTTTAATTTATATTTAAATTAATTTTAGTTCCTTATGAGCTACATTCAAAACTTAATTATGTTAAGTATGTTGAATATTGAGGTAAGCTCCAATTATATATTGCTATGAAGAAAAAAAAGATTTTGTGCCTTAATTCAAGAAGGTCACAGTTTTTTTCTGATTCCCTATTCTCTTCTATCGAGCTCAATCATGCAAGTAGATTGGGTTCGTGCCTGTACCAGCCCACGCTGTTGCAACGCTAATGTACAAATTATATTTAAAAATGTAACATTTTTATTGTAATATTTTTTTATCTTTGACTTTCAGAATGACATTAATGTTCACATAATCATGCATTTTAAAAACAAAACTCTACAATTAAAAAATCCGTACTTTATCTTTTACATCCGTTACTTGAAACAAGACTTTTAAATTATGTGAAAACATTGTTAAATTATTGTAATATGACAGCCAAAAAAAAATCACACGCCCCTCCCTTTCTTAAGGTTGAATGTGCTAGTTGTCTTTGCCTTCATCTCAGTCGTTTATGCCGTTTGGCGCGAAAAATACCAATCGTATGAAAATTAGCAAATTTTTTCATTCATTTTATCTCGTTATAAATAGTTTTAAATAAGTTGTCGATTCTGTATTCGTCTTGTTTGTGTCTTGTGAAACGCTTGTGAGTGCACAACAATATAATGTATAGGTTAGTTCGAGTTTATTTTTTATTAGTAAATAAATTTTAAGAATAGATTTTAAGACTAGTTAGATTATTAGATTAGTTGTTAGAACAAACAATCGTGAAGTATTATTTCAAGTCAGTATTTAAAATATTTCCTATCATGACCATAAGTTTTCTTAAACTATATTTCACCAAAAGTAAATTAACATACAATATATTTTTTTATTAAATTTTTGCGGCGTATACTCCGATTTTTGTACTAAATTACGGAATTACGATTGCTAACGGCGCTACAATTAATTGCTTATTTAAACAAAATTGTACTTATATTTAAATAAGAAAATACTTAATTAACGTGCGTAATTACATATGTACCTACGTAAATAATTTTAATATTATTTGCACGTACATAAAATTTATGTCACGTACGTGAATCATAGTTCAATTATAACGCTTATAATGTAATTATTTTTAAGGATAAACCACATATAAAAAAACCAGATGTATAATTCTGAAACCTATATAACAATATATAGCCGTCACAGACTAGCATTAACCATCTTAAAAATGATCCTAATAATTGTATTGGGACATTTTTTTTATATTGTTATACATATTGAAAACTCCATAGGAACTACTTAAAGATTAATTAATCACAAATTAGGACAATTAACTAGTTGATTTTCAACAATTTATGACTATAAATGGCGACAATTTTTTTTTAATTGCCTTTAAAGGCAGACGAAGTCTAATGGACGTCAGCAATGCCAGGGTCAGAGTCAAGCCGCTGTCTACCATTAGACTAGTAAATATTTATTCAAAACGGTTTCACAAATTCAGCTTCAAATCGATATAGAATATTAATATTGCCTTAAACCCGATATCTTATATGGTAGGCAGCGGCTTGGCTCTGTCCCTGGCAGACGTTATGTCAGTCACCCTGCATGGATGTCAGCACGTGCGACGGTAACCACTCACCATCGGGTGGGCCGTATGCTCGTCTGCCTACACGGGCAATAAAAAAAATCTTATAAATAGAGATAAAGTAACATAAAAAAGCCCATAAAAAAATTAATAATCCAAGAGAGCTTGCTGCTTACTGGTGGTAAGACCTCATGTGAGTCCGCACGGGTAGGTACCACCACCCCGCCTATTTCTGCCGTGAAGCAGTAATGCGTTTCGGCTTGAAGGGCGGGGCAGCCGTTGTAACTATACTGAGACCTTAGAATTTATATCTCAAGGTGGGTGGCGCATTTGCGTTGTAAATGTCTATGGCTCCAGTAACCACTTAACACCAGGTGGGCTGTGAGCTCGTCCACCAATCTAAGCAATAAAGAAAAAAAGAACTTTCCGGAAACAATTTGCGACAACGCTTTACAACAAGTTCGTTGTCAACAACGTTGAAATCCAATAAAGTATTTGATGGCAACCTTAAACTCTATAAAAAGCATACGATTGTCTTGTAACAATGACGCGGGAACCGGGCGATAACAATTATTTGATATCGCGATGTATATACAAATTAAAAATCTAAAATGCACGCGCTGTTCGTTCATTGTTATTGTAAATTTTATCATTTTAACAGGGTTAGTGCTATGCGTGCCTTTCAATTAAGCCATATCAGCGTATTTTAGTTTTCCTGAACTCCGTGTCCGGGTCTGGATATCATCATTTTTGTTCTCCCTCCCTGTTCTAGTGACCTAAAGGCGTCATGCCAGATTCACCGAGTGAGTAGGTGAGCTCTCGGGATTCTAACCTGACGAATATCACACTGACAGACACTGACACACGCTGACACAATATCATGTAATATCGTAGTCTAATATAGTTTTATCACTGTATATAAAGTCCGATTTAAAAAGCGGGACAGTAGTTAAAGCGTGTTATAATACATTTAGGTATTATATATATTTATCAGAATAAAGCTTCTCGTTTCGAGAAGGGTCCACGCATTCACATTGGGATGTAGACTATTGCGTCAATCTAGAGATTTAATTTTATGATCTACAACTAATTCTATACTAAGCCATAGTTCTTCCACTGCTAGACAGGCCTGCCTCTAGAGTCGCCATAAATGGGCCTGTCCGCATCCAATGGATTCCCTCGACCAGGTCATCTGACCTCCTCTTATCATCGACGTACTGATACTCAACACAAGCATGTCAATAAGATCTAAGTCAACGTCGCTTTTCTAAAATACCCTTAATTTGGTTCGTCGGATAAAAACGGAAATTATAAATAATAGTTTTAAAAAACTAATAAAATACGCTTTTATAGAAAATCCAACTAAAAAATAGAATTTTTTTTTTTACTAAATTTCAATTAAAAATAGTGTAAGAAAAAATGATTTTATTGTAAAAAAGCGTGGGGTGCTTTACAGGATATTATCAAAATAGCCCTTCTACTCATGTCTGTTCATAAAATATTTATAACTATTGATACCATGCACCCCACACTATTTTTAATTCAAATTTATTATAATTTATTTTCTGTTTTTTAGTTGGATTTTCTATAAAAGCGTATTTTGTTACCTAGTTTTTTTTAAACTATTATTTATTTTTCATTTTTTAGTTGAATTTAAATTTTTTCAATATATTTTTTTAGTATTGAATTGTCATCGGTCCTTAATAAGTATACCAAATTTCGAGTTAATCCGACGTTTTGAAGGTGGTCAAAATCATGTTCAAAGATTCCGTTACAAACATACATACTTACGTCTGAAGCTAATAAAAGCATATTAAAAACGAATAAGGAAGAATTGCATGGAAAAAACCACCTATTAAATATTTACAAAAAAACAAACAAAAACCAGGAGCTAATTAATGATTGAATTAATCACTAATTACTGTTATAACGTTTATAACGAACAATGGGTAGGAACTAAGCTTTATCAACGTGAAATCTGATGGTAGAATAATTAAATGAATTAAAAAACTAACAGCTTATGCTTAGTTGGATTGCTTTTGGTAATAGTGAGATTATTTGTCTATGAACTTGATGTCTCAAGTTAATCTCAACCTGAGGCACACTGTTGTAGAAGGCATTGAGACAATGTCGGGACGAAAATGTTCTTGCACATATTTCGAATAAAGAAAAACTGGATCATTTTTGTCGTAGCGCCAGCCTCCTTGGAGCGAAAGTCGTAGACCGACCAATGAGAAAGGCCTTTACAAGTGACGAAATTGTATAAAAGATACTTGAAATTCACCCACAGTATAAAAATCTTCAGAATTATGCCATTCTCGCGCGAGATAATCCTATATATCGTTCCCTCGCTGCTGAGGATCGCGACAACATGTGACGTTCTTCCACTGTGCTCGATCATGGGTGGCATGTACTGCATGGTACAGACTACCACCAAGTGCTTCTCTTGCTAGATCGGCCCAAATGGCTAGATGAGGCTTCAGCAACCTAGGAGCCCAAATAGCCCCTAAAAGGCCTGGGGCAGAAGGCAAGGGGAAACCACTGCACTATTTTCCCAAGAAAACTACATGAATAGATTACTTAATGAGAATAGATAATCCTATAGATGCACTTTATATTATATTAACTATTTTTAATGTCGTCTTATCGTTTGATCTAGTTTGAATGGCGCTAAAAAACTTCAAGAATAAATTGTGTTTTGTTAATATATTCGAAAGACATCTGAAGGAAGGAAGGAAGTAGGAGCACCCTTTTAGCGTTTCATTAGAAACGTACTATGGATTCAGAGGCTTTGAAAATCGTTCTTGACGGTCAGCGGAATTAAAAATTAGTCTTTTAACTTTTTTTTTTATTGCTTGCATGGGTGGACGAGCTCACAGCCCACCTGGTGGTTAAGTAGTTACGGGAGCCCATAGACATCTACAACGTAAATGCGCCATCCACCTTAAGATATAAGTTCTAAGGTCTCAGCATAGTTACAACGGATGCCCCATCCTTCAAACTGAAACGCATTACTGCTTCACGGCAGAAATGACTTTGCTGACCACTTGACATAATGCGCTGATGATGAGCCCAATTCTAGAATATAACCTTTGCTAGTTGCATAATATACGCGTTAATATCGTATCAGACTAGCTTACCTACGTGACAAAATCTTACACAAATTATGAATTCATGAATAAATCATTTAAAAATGAAAAACCATCATTACAAAAAAAACAATGTGTCGCGAAAGTTCGAGCTGAAGTTAGACGACAATGGCGGGTCAGGGTTGACAAAAGTTTGCGTTACCTAACAAATGACTCTCTTAATGTAATCATGAAAGGAAAATACATGAAATACATTTTGCGGTAGGCAGCGTCTTGGCTCTGCCCTTGGTATTGCTGAAGTCCATGGGCGACCGTAACCACTCACCATCAGGTGGGCCGTATGCTCGTCTGCCTATACGGCAATAAAAAAAAAGCCATTACTAATTTTGTGCCTGAAACTCACAGTCATTATAAAATGATTTCCACTGTTTCCTGTACCTACCTCACAAAGCGCGGCCACGAAAACGGCTCAGATTAAATCGTAAAAGTGATTTTAATTATCAGCCAATACGTTGATTTTCGTTTATAAGCGATTTAATATCAAGAAGACAATATACATTTTTAACTTCAAATCCTATTTGATAAATTTCAAATTTAATTTTATAAACATTAAATTCAATTTCTATTCCAAGGTTAGAATTATTTTAATTATTCTTTTCAAATTAACAAAACTAAACAACGAAAATAAGAAGAAATCGCAAAAAATACACGACTTGAAAACACGTATTATGTATTAATACATTACAATGTGTATATTACCTTCTCGTGTCGTTTCTTCACTGCTGAGGTTCGTGACATTTTGACAGGATTCTACGTCTTGCAATGTTCCTCCAGCTACTCCGATATTTACGAAAAGTACTCCCGTACTCTTAATAAATACTAGCACTACTCGCCCGCTTCGCTGGGCATTTAAAATTAACATTATTATTTATTGTCATCATATAAATATTAGCCAATCCATTAGGTACATGTATTTTCTACATGGATACCAAGTTTCAAGTCAATCGGATG